CCCTGGAGATCAGATCTGGCACTGGCAGCCCATGAAAGGCTTGACTTGGAATGGGAGCGAGCAGAGCCCCCTGCATCCTCAGGGCAAACAGCAAATACCTGCCTCCAGGATTGCTCGGTGTCCTGGCAAACAGCCCCTGCTGCTGCCAGCACAGGGATGCATGCAGAGAGCTGCCCACCCCAGCCCCACGCACCTTTTTCTTCCGGTCCCGAGAGCGATTCCTGCGCTTGCGGTTGGATTCTTCCTTCTCCTTCTGCTCCTGCAGAGCCTGTGCCTCAATATCTTTAATCTTCTTCAGCTGCTTGGCTGCCTGAGCCATGGTGGGTCAGGGCTGGAATCCTCCCCAGTGCTCACCCTGACCCTTCCTGCCAGACCCTCCACTGCCGGACCGTCTCCTCCCCTGGCTGGGATGCTGGCAGCCCAGAGAGCAGCACCAGGAATGACGGGAAGATGCAAGCCCCAGAGGGCAGCGGATGCCTCCAGCTAGTTGCTAGACAAAGTCCGGGGCACCTTTACGAAGCATCAATAACCTTAAGTCCAGCTGGTGCAGAGGCTCGGTGCACCCTTGCAGCAGAGCTTGGCCGTGCTGGCACATCATTCCAAGTCCTCCTTGTGGGACAGGGAACCTGGCTGGTGCCGCGTGCTCCCCCTCACTGCCTCTCCTGCAGCACTCGGCGAGATGCAGGCAGCTGGCTACGGGAAGGACAATAACTCTCAGCAATTAACGCACGATGCCACGGGAACGGCAGTGAGGAGAGGCGGCCGGTGCGTTTCATCTCGACTCCTCGGCTCCCCGGAGCAGGGCTCTGCGAGCACTAACATGCAGAGAGCCAGGCAATGGCTTTACCACTGCAGTGCTGCTGATGCAGACACATTTTCCCATCTCGCCCGCTCTCGCTCTCAGGCACTCTCTGTGCAGCAGCACTGCTCACTGGCTCACTGGGCTACGCTTCCAGCTCTTTCCAAGGAGAGCAACGGGGAAATCAATGCACACGCTCAGGAGACAGGAAAACAGAGGAGGCTGCAAGGGACTGGCTAAGTAAGGACGCAGAACGCAGCAGCCTTCTCTCTCCCAAGCCCTTGCCTGAGGAGCTGCAAGTGGAGGGGAGGGATCTTGGCTGGGAATGGGAGAGAGAAACCATGGTTCCCATCTGCCTTTGGCAGCCCAGCCTCCGAACTGCAGCTCCCGGCTGGCTCCTGCCCTGCCAGGGACCCCGGCAGAGCCTGGGAGCTTCCTGGGGCCCCAGGTGGGCGCCAAATGGGTCAGCCCCCTTCACGTCATTCATCGAGTCCCAGGTCACGAAGGAGCATGAGACCCAACTAGCCTGATTCCCCCCCCCCCCCCCCAAGAATTCCGGCAGCAGCTTTGCAACGACCACTCGCTCTGGACTTCAAAATGGGCAGGGAGGGAGAATCCACCAGGACCTGCAGGAAAATGTTCCAGGTGCAGGTTTCACCTGCTCAAGCGAGCAGCCCCGTGTGTGCGGAACTGGCTGTCCAAAGCCATCCGCAGGGCCTGGGAGCGCCTTCACTCACGCCGTGCGCACTTTTCCAGTCTGGACTCCCTAACAGAGGGTGTGTCTGGCGGACCCCTCGGCTCCCAGTCACTCGACACTCCTACCCAAAGCTTCCCCAGCAGCTCCCCCTTGCCTCTCGGCTGGCTCCCCCATTGCCTCCCCACACCTGAGCTCTGCCCCCCAACACCTCTTGCTCTTGTCCCCCATCTCCTCTGTTCACTAGCCCCAGGGTCATGGAAGAGCTGATGGAAAGACACCTAGTGAGGAGCTCTCCAGGCTGGTCTCTGTCCAGCATGGCTCTCCAGAGTGTACGGCCTGGCCTCCCAAAGTCCTGCCCCAGCCAGTGTTCCCTGTAAGCTGAGCACTCGGCCAACCACCCAGGAGAGATTCAAATGCCACCCAGTTGATTAGCAAAGTGTCTACAGCACCCAGACCTGGCAGCATGTGTTTCTACTGGTGATGCACATCCGCACATGCCTCAGTGCACTTAAGAAAATTCATTCCTCACATGGATGGAAAAAGTAGCGGGAACATTGGCCCCAGCCTGCACAAGGAACCATGTAAAGCCTGGGGTGGAATTTTCAGAGCAGCCTCAGGTTAGGAACATGGCTGATTCTCGGCCTCAACACACAGCACTGGGCTAAAAGCAGAAGGAGGGATTCTGCCTCAAGGGTTCTCCAAATGCAGGGAATGACAGTAGGAATTAAGTGGAGCCTTTAGAGGCACCTCTAGATTGGGAAGAACCGAAATCTGGCTATTGGTGCACAGGGCTTCCCAAGAACAGCTTGGCTGTGTCTAGATTGGCCGGTTTTTCCGGAAAAACTTGCCAGCTGTCTACACTGGCCGCTTGAATTTCCGCAAAAGCACTGACGATCTCATGTAAGATTGTCAGTGCTTTTGCGGAAATACTATGCTGCTCCCGTTCGGGCAAAAGTCCCTTTTGCACAAAACTTTTGCGCAAAAGGGCCAGTGTAGACAGCTCCGATTTGTTTTCCGCAAAAAAGCCCCGATCGTGAAAATAGTGATTGGGGCATTTTTGCGGAAAAGCGCGTCTAGATTGGCCACGGACGCTTTTCCGAAAATGCTTTTAACAGAAAACTTTTCCGTTAAAAGCATTTCCGGAAAATCATGCCAGTCTAGACATAGCCCTTGAGTCATTTGTGCAGTGCTACAAAGATACACTTAACCCTAGATAAGGCTGTGGCTCCCTGTGTAGCAACACAAAGCATTATGTGCATTGCATACAAGTTAATTAAGGCTGCGAAGTCAAGCACCTGAAAGTTAGGAAATGCCAACTCAGTATTCTCTGTGCAGCCTTAACTCTGCCCCTTGTGCATTCCACCTAGGCACGGAATGAGGCAGAGATTGTTACAGTACACAATCATGTAATTAACCCCTGCATCATTATGCAAATGCACATGGAGGCACATAGCCCGTGTCAGGGCTCGCAGAGGGGGTCAGTGGGTGGCCACTCCACCCCAGTCCACTGAGTCCTTGGAGTCCTTGCTCTTGGGCCTGTCGTCAGACCAGATCAATAGGTAGTGGAGCAACCGCCCTCTTCAGGGCTGGCAGCTCTAGTCTTGGGCCTCGGGCTGATGCTCAGGCCAAGCCAACCATCCAGGCTCCACAGGCCCGAGGACAGGGCAGGGCAGAGCAGCAAACAAACCAGACCATGGCCCAGGCCCTGGTGCAGGGCAGAGCAGCAAACAAACCAGACCATGGCCCAGGTCCTGGTGCAGGGCAGAGCAGCAAACAAACCAGACCATGGCCCAGGTCCTGGTGCAGGGCAGAGCAGCAAACAAACCAGACCATGGCCCAGGTCCTGGTGCAGGGCAGAGCAGCAAACAAACCAGACCATGGCCCAGGTCCTGGTGCAGGGCAGAGCAGCAAACAAACCAGACCATGGCCCAGGTCCTGGTGCAGGGCAGAGCAGCAAACAAACCAGACCATGGCCCAGGTCCTGGTGCAGGGCAGAGCAGCAAACAAACCAGACCATGGCCCAGGTCCTGGTGCAGGGCAGAGCAGCAAACAAACCAGACCATGGCCCAGGTCCTGGTGCAGGGCAGAGCAGCAAACAAACCAGACCATGGCCCAGGTCCTGGTGCAGGGCAGAGCAGCAAACAAACCAGACAATGGCCCAGACCCTGGTGCAGGGCAGGGCAGCAAACAAACCAGACCATGGCCCAGGCCCTGGTGCAGGGCAGAGCAGCAAACAAACCAGACCATGGCCCAGGTCTTGGTGCAGGGCAGGGCAGCAAACAAACCAGACCATGGCCCAGGCCCTGGTGCAGGGCAG